ATTAGAATTTTTGACCACTGTGCCTTGGAAAGTAACTATATCAATGAGAATACCACACATAAATGTGCAGAGTCTTTTGCCACACATTTAGGAGTTCTGATGTAGTAGCACTGTAGGTTAAGCACTCAACCACAATGTTGGTTTGAACCACAAGGTCAGCGATTCAAACTACTAGCTGTTCCTAAGAAATCCTATACAAGGTCACTATCAATTGGAACCCACTCTATGGCACTTAACAACAACTACACATTTAACATTATTTATGGCAGTACCTTTTCTCACCATTCCCATTATATTCTGATGGTCAAGTTGTTTAATCCATTTTTTTAACACAATTATATATCTTTGTCAAAATCTGAGTTTTCTTCTGGAACACATTCTGTATGAAATGCCAAGAGAAGGCTGTCAAGCCTTGAAACTTGATGATTTTACCAGGTAATGGAGCAGGAGAAATGTTCCCAGGTAACAACAATATTTCAAGGGGAATAAATCCAGAAAAGCATACTGTAATAGGAGCAAAAATAAACAATTGATACTGCATAGGACCACTATTGTAAAAGACTAAGAAAAAGAACCCATACTAAAAGGAAGGGTGGAATTCTATGCTGGTTACTGGAATGTGGAGGTGGAGGGGAGGGGTGAGATGAGGGGAGGGGAAAGATGGAGCACAGGGTCAGGAATAGGCACAGGATAGTTTGGGTGCTGGAGAGGGTGCAATATATTAGAAGGGGGAGACAAATGGAAGAACAAGATGGATGGGAAAACAATTAGACAGGTTTGCATGGACTATGTGGGACAGAGGTAAATAATGATGTATGAACAACCTTGGAACAATCGGGCTCTGGGATGCAGGGATTGAGACATGGCTGGAATAAGCAAAAGGGGTGTGTGTGTGTAATGTTAAGATGCTTGACTGTCTTTTGAATCTTGGTTTCCCTAGCATACCATTATAAAATAGACACTTGAGGGGTAGAGAAAGGAATAGCCAGAAATATCACCATATAAAGCTTGTAAGTCAGTCTTCTGCCTATAACTAATTGGAATCCTAAAATGGTGCTACAATGTCCTTAGTAAAGGATGCTTCCTGTATTACATAAGAACATAGGTGGGATCCTATTGTGAACGCCATCCACAATCTTCTGAGGTGGGAAATTTCCACTTGAAAGGACAAGCAGACCAACCTAGAACTGCTAGAAGAATAGAAGATTCTCCTTGAAAGAAAGACCAACAGGAAAAATACAAAACAATAACAGCAGTCAACTGACCACTTCAAGAACAAGCAAGTTACTTGCCCAGGAGACATCAAGGCAAGTGGCCAGGTCCCCTCAGTGCAAACCCCCTTCCAAGACTAAGGTTCAATGGGAATACACGAGCAGACATGCAGTCTGACTGGTGATCATGTTGGTCACTGATAAGGGGAAGTGAGGGAAAAACAGCAATGAAGCTGCGAGGTAATTCCTACCACGTTCAATAGACTCCTGTAAACCCGGGTGGAGACTTGGTTGGCCAGCAATATGGCAAGACTTGGGGACTCCTGGGCCCAGAGTCAGTGACATAGCCACAGAGGACTAGAGTGGAGAGTGAAGTGTCCAGCTGATAAGAAGAGAGAGCATATGCACAAGAACACCCACTTGACCTGGCTTCAATGGCTGCATGAACAAAGCTCAACTAGAAGAAAAAAGAAGAGGAAAAAAAGAGTAATCTGATACAATTTGATGAACTTGACCTACACCTATGGATGCAGTAGCTCAAAAGAGGGAACAGATCTTTACAGTGAGGTTCATTCCCACCCCCTCGATACAAAGAGTAGACAGGAATGGGCAACTTGGACATTGGCTACCCCAAATGGGGAGGCAACAAAGACACAAAGTGACTGGATTACAAGTTTTCAAGAGGGAGCCTAGATCCAGAGGGTGCAGAGGGAGGTAGAATCTCCATTGAGTAGTAACCAATCTGTCTGGGCAGGGCTGATGAAAAGAGTGCTAACTCATGTGGCACAATAGTGAATAATTGCCATCAGGACTCACTGTGAGGGTTGGAAATGTAAAGGTAGAGGTTTTGTAGAAAAAGGAAGGAAGTGATTAAGTTTTAAGTCCAGGATTGAAGGTCCCTGGGACCTTTAGGAAGAAGAGTGGAATGTGGGACCCCACCCAGAGAAACAGTGACGCCAAAGATGGAGGCAGAAAGGATGGCGTGGAGAGATGGAAAGGCTGGGGACTCTAGACCCAGAGAGGGAGACGGGCTATGTGTTGATGACCAGGGGGCAGGCTTGCAGGGTAAACCCTTTAGTTGTTTAATGATGCATGGAGGGGATTGTAATCATGGCAATGAAAAGATATACAGTAGGATGAATGTAAAGCTAATGTTCTCCCATGTAAACTATCACACAATTCACAGTAAAACATTAAAAAAAAAAAAAAAAAAGACTTTATCAAAAGAGCAAATAAACAACCTATAGACGAAAACTATTCAGAAAATGCTTATCTGATAAGGCCTAATTAAAAAATAAAAATAAATAAACAATTGGAATACTTTTTAACACATTTTGTGAGGCTATCTGTACTTTATAAGCAAAAATATATAAAATCATTACAAGAAAAGAAAACCATCAATACTTCTCAAGAAAATATGTAAAATTTCTCAACAATAGATTATGAGATTCAAGAAAAAAAATTGAATAAAGTTACAAATTACAATTCAAAAAGCAATGTTGTTGTTGTTATTATGTGTAGTCAAGTCGGTTCAGTCTTATAGCAAACCTGTATAGGGTTTCTGAGGATCAGCTGACCCCACAGCACCACATCAGGAGTCCAAAAAAGCAATATAGACAACAATAAGAAAAGATCTGATTTTTGGCCATGGGGTTAATTGATCATTTTGGAAATTCACAGACATTGTAGAAGTAACAGCGAAAACACTGACCAGTCTTGAAGAAGAAAGAATACTAATCTTGGCTCTGCATGATAAAAATAAAACAAAACTTACAAATAATTGGAAACTCATTTTAATATTATCATTTTTTACTATAAAACCTAACAAAATTTATCAGCCACACAGAATATGAATATGTCAGGCCCAAGGGGGGAAAAAAAATACAACACAGCTCAAATCCAGCTTGCTGCTTTTCTACAATCAAAGTTTTATTAGAAATCATTCACATCCATTCATTTATGTATTATTTACTGGTATTTTTGCACTACAGTGGCAAAGTTAGCAGAGAGTACTTCATTCACAAAAGTTAACCTACTTACTACCTGTACATTTGTGAACAATATTTTTCTATCTGTAATTTAGAACAACCACACAGAAAATAGTGTTTTAAACACAACACCTGCAGATATGTCTACACGTAGCTTCTGTACTCCAAACTTAATGAGATTAATGTTACTAATTAAACAAAAATTCATTTGTTTATATGATTACAAAGGAGTGTCTCAATTTTATTCAATGAGTGATGAAAATTGATGCTGTCCAGGGCTAAAGAAAAAGAACATGGCATGTAAATAAGTAGGATTTTCAGACTCTTCAAGTTCGGATCATATTTGGAAAGCATCATAGTAATATTACCAGACTGCACTGATGGAATATCTCTCTAATAAAACAGAATTATTCTTGTTTAAGGAGGCCTGTTAGCTTTTGTGGATTGGGAGCTGAACTGCTAACTACAAGATTAACAATTTAAAAATACTAATCACTCTTTAGGAGAAAGTTTAGGGTTTTTGTTCACGTAAAGGTTTACAGACTCAGAACCTTATATAGAGTCGCTATGAGTCCGAACCGACTAGGTGGTACACAACTATCATCATCACCACCATCCTTGTTCAGAGTTCAATCAAAATTTTATAATATCACGTATTAGGCATTAAGTGCTTGAGGAAGATCCAAGAAATATACAACAATATCACAAAGATGTTTAGTTGCAAGGCAATAAAAATATAAATATTTAGACGAACAAAATTCTATATTCAATAATATTTCTGTTAAGGTGAACAACATAGTATTTTAGTTAAGCCCATATATCCTAAAGCCACAGATTTGGGGATAAAGTTCTACTATGCCAATTTTTAAAAGAATTTCTTTGGGCAATTTACACAAACTCTCTGTGCTTCGGTTTTCTAATTTTATGGGAAACGATCTGTGGAACATCACTCACCAACATTTTCAGGCTCTCAGGTTTCTTGGAAAGCATCTATTACAGTTATACAACAAGCAGTTACTTTGTGGGAGACCTGTATAATTACAGGAATTTAAAGATGTGGGCTTCATCCAGCTATCCTATCACCAGAGCCTATTTGGAATATATATGTATCAACATTCATATCCATCCAAATGTTTCCCCCCTCTATTTCAACTCACCTTCTATTACTGGAAACACATGGCAAAAAACAAAAATTAAAAGTAAAAAATAATTCAGTCATGCAAGGGTTAAATGAGTGACTACTTTTAAAAGGCTTAGAAAATGGCCATTGGGTGTGACACTATAAGATCAGCACTAAACTTAGACCCACAAGGCCTGAAGTTCAAACTCACCAACTGCTCCTAGGAACGGACTTGATGGCACTTAAGTTATTAATGTTACTTTAATAATCAGTAAAAGGAAAATAATTTTACTCAAAATAAATTTAATCAGGATTTGCAGAGAGTTAGAAATGGAAAAAAAAATTTTTTCAAAAATTATGTTTTCTAATATACTAGAATGTTTTACATTCTTAGCATAATTCACCTATTCCTTTTATATTTGTACATATATCAGGATAAGTGTGACAGATATGGAATTTTAAGTCCTCATTTAAATAACAAATAAAAATAAATTATTTTATTTACAAAAGACATAAATGGAAAACATGAAAAAGTGAAAAGAGATGGAGAAAAAAGATAAACAACATCATATACAGTTGCTATCATGTATGGATTATTTCTTAAATAAAGTGATAGATACATGGTTTATATTTATCAATTAATGTATCATGGCCTCATAAAATGGATTCCAACAACTATTTTTAGTTTTTAGAATTTTTTCTTTTTGGGAAAAAGAGACCCACCACTCGGTCACGAATCTGCTTGGTCTTAACACCATACACCAGGGGATTTACTGTTGGGGGCACCAGAAGATACATACTTGCAAAAAGTATGTGAACACTTGGGGGTACCTTCTTGCCAATGCGATGAGTTAGAAAGCTGAACAGTGCAGGTGTGTAGGAAACAAGGATAGTACAGACATGGGCAGCACAGGTGCCCAGGGCTTTGGAACGGGCATTCTGGGAAGAGAGACGAAAGACAGCCTGGAGGATTTTGAAGTAGGATGTAGCTATAAGCCCAAGGTCCAATGTCATCACTGTTAGGGCCACCGAGATACCATATGCTCTGTTAATGAGGGTATTGGCACTGGCTAACTTCACCACAGCCATGTGCTCACAATATGCATGATTGATGACGTATTTAGTATAATATGGCAGTCTCTTAATCAGAAGAGGGCAGGGCAAAACCATGAGAACAGCTCGAGTCATTCCAACTAGCCCCATCCTGATCACCACTGGTGAAGTTAAAATGGTTACATAACGCAATGGGATGCAAATAGCTACATAGCGATCAAAGGCCATGGCAACTAGGAGAGCTGACTCAATTATGCAAAATGTATGGATGAAATACATTTGTGCTAGGCAGATATTAAAGTCATACCAGTGGTCATCCAACCAGAAGATGCCAAGCATCTTGGGAGCTGCAGAAGATGCAAGAGCCATGTCATTCACTGCCAGCATGCAAAGGAAAAAATACATAGGCTGGTGGAGGTCTGGCTCTAGCTTGATGGTAACAATGATTACAGTGTTCCCCAGTAGGGAGAAGACAAACAGGAGACAGACAGGAATGCCAATCCAGCACTGAAAATCTTGCAAACCAGGAATACCAACCAGGAAGAAAGAGGAAATGTAGTGATGTGTAGTATTGTCTCCCATGTCAGACGTGATGAGGTTGCAAACATTCAGTCATATAGGTAACCAGGCAAATCCCCTGTAGGCTGAAAGCAGGATGACAGAGTGACTCTTCTATGGTCCTGCATGTAAGGCTTCCCAAAGTACTCTATGATCCCCTATCTAAAATATCTCTTCTGCTAAAACTCTTGGGTAATTTACTTGGATCATTTGCTTCACAATTCATAGCTTGAAATTTGCATCTAAAAATGAGAAGATTGAGTACCTTATTTATTTTTCTTGTTTCTAAAATTGTATTCAATGCTTCTTTATTATTTTAAGTTTCTATTAAAAGAGCTGTTAGAAATAAAATGACTCCTTATTTTTGAGTAAGACAACCAGGTGATCATGGTGGTTGTGTGCCATCAAGTCAGTTCTGACTCACAGTAACCCTTTATAGGGTTTCTGAGACTGTAAATTTTAACTGGAGTAGAAAGCATCATCTTTCTCATGAAGACATCCTAGAATACTGTGCATAAAAAGTCTTAGGAAATAGTGAAGGACTCCAGTCTTAAGGACATTGATCACATAAGCACACACACATATCTCAACATTTAATTTAAAATGCACTGAAGACATCATTTCGATAATATTATTATCCACAGGTAACATAAATAGACAGTTAGAATAAGATTTTCTGAAGTCAAAACTTAAGAATTTATCTTGTCAACATTAATGACATATGCCTCATTATCAATCAAGGTACAATTTAATGGTAATAAGATAACTCTGAAATAATCATGAGATGGACAGGGAAGTACGATAATGCAGTAAACAGTGAATTTAACTGCTGAAAACAGGGAAAAAAAAGAATTTATGCCTTCATTCTGTCAAGTGATTTAATAGCACTGTTGAATGGTTTAATTGTAAATAAACACTTTATCTATTGTTCGTTGATGTAGTTTCCATCTGTTTTCTGTAAAGATCTGTGTCCTAGCCTTAAACCCACCTCATCTTTTTTCTCTAACATCTATCCTGTCTAACTTCAGTGATGGAATGAAACAATAAAGCCATTTTATTATAAGCACCATTAGTAGCTGCTATGATGTTTGCTGTTACTTCGCCCTTTAATTTTGATAACTGATCTCTATCTAGGATCTTGTGTCCACCCAGTATCAGAATTCTGGATTATATAACTCTGTCTTCATAATATGCTTTTAAATTTTCTACTTTTTCTTAGATTCTCAACTCCTGTTTTTCTATCCCATGGATAAATATTTCTAATGATAACACCTTCTGGTAAGAAATTGGAAAGCTAGTCTAATTGCCTTCATAAAAAATTGCCTCTTTTCTCCTGAGATCTGAAAACCTGTATGGTGCACAGCTACCATTACTGAACGTTGTGAACAAAGATTCTATAGGAAAATTCACATCAAAATGGGGAAATTAAGAAACAGAATTTCAAATTCTCACATAATGCAAATTATCTGGAGTAATTTAGAGAAGATGAAAACAACAAAACTGACGCCCTGAGGTAATCTTTGTACCTTAAACTAAAATTGTACTCTAAAGTCATCTTTGAACTAGACAATTAATGTAGATTAATAGTGAAGAATGTTTCCTTAAGCTAACAAATAAACCCTAACAGAAAGAAAGAAAAGTAAAGAAACAACAACAACAACAACAAACCTCCTCATCTGTATGTCCAAATAATATCAGTATTGCTCTTGGCAGCTGTGTACCTTGGAGTCCATTCAGACTCCAGGCAACCCTGTGTGGGGTTTCCACGGAAGTGGATCTGTGTGGGAGTGAAGCGCCTCGCCTTTCTCCTGCAGTGCAGCTGATGGTTTCGAGCTGCTGACCTTGCAGTTTGTGGCCCCATTAATGGCTGCTGCACTACCTGAGCTCCCTGTGCAGGACCCATAAAAGCAATCTGTAAAACCCCAACATAAAAGAACTCAACCATCCTGAGAATTGCACTGTGCAGATGCAGATATCTAACTGACCTTCAGAGACAAAAATAGTCGTCAATCTCTCTCCCATTAACCACTCAATATTTACCTGTGAACCTCTACTGTAGTGACTAGAAGAGGGGCCTGAGAGAGCGGACACCCTCACCCATTGTGGGAGGCTTCTACCTTGCACATACATTGCCTGTGTAGCTTGGGACAGTTGACTACAGCTTCATTTCTGTTCCAAAGTGGTGGGTTTTTTCTCTGCAGTTATATTACTTCTGCTTTTGGTCCTTTTGACCACACATCTTTCCTGGAGGTGGGAGCTTTTTCTCCCAACATTACTCAAGAAGAGACAGCAATCGTGGCCATATAACCAAGCTATAAGCATACCCCATAATATTCAACCACTTAGAGAAGAGCCAACAACACCTGCTAAGCATTACATGTGAAAGAGGAAGGCTGTCTCCCTATCATATTCACCAGGAGACACCCAGTCAGCTTAACAGCAAACAACAAACATTCACTTAAGAAATGACTAATAAAAAACAACAAATGATATCAAAACATGTCCAAAAACAGAAGAGACAAATGAGCTGGAGACAGACAAAAGATTTCTAGAGAGGAAGAGCGGGTTTTGGATATGCCTGAGAAAGAATTCAGAAGAAATCAGAAAAAATTTCAAATGCTCCAAAAAGGGGTGGAGGAAAACAAGGAAGAAATCAGGCAAGTACTACAGGAGCAATCAAATATGATTGTTACAGCACTGGAAACAATTCAAAACCTGCAAAAAGATGTCCAGATGATTAATAATAAGATATCAGAATTGGACAACGCATTGAAAGGAGAAAGGAGCAGAATCGAAGAGATGGAAGCCAGAACTAGTGAGCTAGAAGACAAATCTCTCAATACTGCTAAGATAGAAGTGAAAGCTGAAAAAGGGATAAAAAATATCTGAAGAGAGTATAACATTCATGCTGAATAACATAAAGAGGAATACTTAAGAATTATTGGCACTCTGGAACAGGAAGAATCAGAGAAGTCCACAGAGGAGATAGTTGAAGAGCTTCTGGAAGAAAATTTCCCTAACAGCTTGAAAGATAAGAAGATAAACATTCAAGAAGCCAAATGTACCCCAGGATGGATACACCCCAAAAGAAAGTCACCAAGACATATAATAATCAAGCTCTCCAAAATCAAAGACAAAGAGAGAATACTAAAAGCAGCCAAAGAGAAGAGAAATGTCACTTATAAAGGCAAACAAATCAGATTAAGCTCTGACTATTCAGAACAAACCATGCAGGTAAGAAGGCAACGGAGAGACATATACAAAGCCCTACAAGAAAACAACAACAACAACAACAATAATAAAAAACTGTCAACCAAGAATCGTCTATCCAGCAAAACTATCAATCAATTACGATGGTGTGATCAAGACATTCCACAATAAACAGAATCTGAGAGATTTTATCAAAACCAACCCAGCACTTCAAAACATCCTAAAGGGAGTTCTGTTGAATGAAAAGCAACAGGAACCGATAACAAACAGAGATTGACAGGCTTGGCAACACCACCTGGAACTCAGTCAACAGACAGCAGAGTCAAAAACAGAAAAAGACTACAAAAACAAATTCAAAGGAGCTAGGAGGTCAACTGAGGATCAAAATTATATCAATGAAAGAAGGTACAAACATAGCAACAGAGACCCAGGTGGTGAGGATATCAGGTAAATAACAGGATAGAATGGAGAGAGAAGTTAGTAGACTATAAGGTAACCCCAAAGAAAGTTAATACTTCACAATTTACCATGAAAATGAACTTCCAAGCAGAACAAGCAAACATGAAAACTAAAAAGAAATAGACAAGAAATAGCACAAAAAACACAAATCCAACACAAGAAGGCATGCAGAACAAGAGAACGAACAGCACTACCAAAAAAGTAACATAATGGCAACAATTAATTCATACGTATCGATAATTACATTGAATGTCAATGGATTGAATGCACCAGTGAAGACATAGAGAGTGGCAGAATGGATAAGAAAACAAGACCCTTCAATATGCTGCCTGCAAGAGACACACATTACACACAAAGACAAAAACAGACTAAAAATTAAAGGATGGAAAAAAATTTACCAAACTAACTTCAACAATAAACAAGCAGGACTGGCAATACTAATCTCCACCAAAGTACACTTTAAGATTAAAACCAGCATAAGAGACAAAAAAGGACACTATCTCATGATCAAAGAGTCAATTGAGCAAGACGATATAACCATAATAAATATCTATGCTCCCAATGAAATAGCACCAAGATACATGAAGCAAACCTTACTAGAATTGAAGAAAGAAATAGATAAATCTACAATTATAGTTGGAGATTTTAACACGCCACTCTGGAAAAGGGACAGAACAACTGGAAAGAAACTCCACAAAGTTACAGAGAAACTAAACAACACAATCAACCAACTTAACCTCATAGATATACACAGAGCATTCAATCCAACAACAGCACAATATACATTCTTCTCCAGTGCTCGTGGAACGTGTTAGGTCACGTATTTACAAACATTAATTTACAAACATCAAAATTCTACAGAGCATCTTCTGAGACCAAAATGCTATAAAACTAGAAATCAACAATAAGAAGACCAAGGTAATAAAGTAGACTACATGGAAACTGAACAACACCTTGCTGAAAAGTGACTGGGTAAAACAAGAAATTAAATGTGAATTCACAAAGTTCCTAGAAAAAAATGAGAATGAAAACACAAAATACCAAAATCTTTGGGACACGGTGAAAGCAGTGCTGAGACGACAATTTATTGCAATTAATGCACACATCCAAAAAGAAGAAAGAACCAAAATTAACACATTAATACAGCATCTTCAACAATTAGTAGCAAACCAGCAGAGGGAATCTACAGTCACCAAAAGAAAGGAAATAATAAAGATAAGAGTGGAAATAAACGAGATGGACAACTGAAAAACTATAGAAAGAATCAACAGAACAAGAAGCTGGTTCTTTGAAAGGATTAATAAAATTGACAAACCACTGACAAAACTAACAAAAGGAAAGAGGGAGAGGACACA